TTTAACCCGTCAAAACCCGAATTTAACCCGACTACTTGTTACTAACCTGATCTGAATTCAACCCGACCCGTTCCTTACCCGACCCGAATTTAACCCAACCTGTTACAAACTCGACCTGAAATCAACCCGACTTATTATTGACCTGACCCAAATTAAACCCGACTTGTTATTGACCTGACCAGAATTTTACCAGACCTTTTACTTATCCGACCCAAAAATTCAACCCGATCTGTTACTAACACGACTTGTTATTGACCCGACATAAATTCAACCCAAATTATTTCTGACCCGATTTTAAATCACCTTATATGCAATTTAGACCACCTTATTATTGTTGATCAAAGCATTTTTTCTAGGGAGATCAACCAAGTCGGTCCAGGCCAGCAAAAGAAAGGAGCATCATCCTCAAATTTAAGAGTTAAATATAATATATATTTGTTGTATTGATAGGCGTGTCGCGTACCTAACAAAAATAACCGAACGAACTCTACTATGTAGTTGAGCAAGTAGGGGTCGAATCCCAAGAGACTAAGGACTACTAATTAAACAGACTCAAATCAATACTAAGCAAGTAACCAATCAATATCGAGAAATCCATTCTAGAACAATTACGAACTATCAAGCAAAGAAAATTATAATAATGAATTAATCAAGAACTAAAGACATCTAAGATTAATTATCCCCACTAATATGAATCAATGCAATAGAACAATCCCTTTCCCTCAATTAAATTAATAAATATTCCACATGACAGAAGTTCCCTAAAACAATACTAAGAGTTTCTTTCGATCAACTAATAGCTTCCCTAACATGAAATCATACCTATTTTCATGGAATCATACATATTAAAGACATTGAGAACGACATCCTATAAGCCCTAGAAAGAACAATTAGCTATTTTCATGCATAAAAGCTCTTGCTTTTAATTAGGGTTCTAAATTCAATTAGGAATCAACTTTCGTTGTAAACCTAATCACATTCAATAATACTATTTCTAGTTTATCATGGATAATAAAACCAACCCTAACAAAGAGAAATTATGAATTAATTAAATTGGGAATTGGGAATCAAATAACACATCAATCCATATTAGGGTTCAACCTAACCCTAGATTATGAAACTAATCACACATAATAATAGAAGTAACAAGACAATTAATTAAAGAAAACATAATAACAATAAAAATTAAAGAGAATAAGGAAGAGAAATCAATACTTGGAATTGGAATTAAATATGAAAACTTGAATCTTGAAAGTAATAATGAAGAACGTAATACCAAAAGCTCTCAAATAATGTATGTAAAAAGTGATAGATAAAAGACTATCTAAAACCTATTTATATGCTAGGAAAATAATAGTAGTCTTTTCTTAGGATTAGGACTCCTAAAATCCCTAAAATAGGGCTAATTTCGTTGGTAATGAAGAGGCCGCAACCGGGCTGCGGTACAAGGTCGTGAGCCGCGGTATTGCTGCGGTGCAGGCTGCCGACTTGAATTCTTGCTCCTTTGTGAAGTGCGCCGCAGGTAAGCTGCGGTAGGTCATAGTAAACCGCAATCAAGCTGCGGACTAGGCTGCCATGATGCTTCGTGGATGCTAAAAACGCTCCATATGAAGAATATCTTGCGTACAAGTTGAATTTCACGCAAATAGATCCGTATTCCTATAAAAACAAAAACAAACAAACCGAGAAGAGCAATATCGAAATAGGAAGAATAATAGCTCTAAAAGAGTAAGAAAATGAAGGAAACACAATAAAATAAGACCAAATATCACATATAAATCATGTATAATATCGTGTTATCATGTATGGTCAAAGGAGATAATTATCTTCCTAAATTATAGACTATAGTTCCCTAGTATATTGTCATATTATAGTCAAAGGAAATAATTAGCTTGATAAATATGATAATTATCTATTTATAATTAGTTGAACCCGAATATGACCTTACTTGAAAATGACCCGACCTGATTGTAACCTGCAAATTATTGACTTGAACAAACCCGACTTGAATTCGAGAATGACCCGGTTTGGAAATGACCCAACCTAATTATATATAACCCGCAAATTATTGACTTGAACCGAACCCAAATTGAACCCGAGAATGACCCGACCTGATTATAACCCGCAAATTATTCACTGGAATCGAATATGACTCAAACCCGAGAATGACCCGACCTGATTCTAACCCTCAAATTATTGACTTGAACCAAACCCGACTCGAACCGAGAATTACCCTAACCCGTTTTAACCCGTGAAAATCCGAATTAAACCTGACCTATTGTTCACCTGACCCGAATGTTACCCGACCTGTTATTATTCCGACCTAAACCCGATAAGAAGTATGACCCGACTCAAGAATGACCCAACCCAAACCCGACCCGCATAGGTTATGAAATTATTCTGAATTGACCCGACCCACTCTTACCCGACCAAAACCCGACCCGTTTACCCGAATTGACAGCTCTAGATTCAACTCACCTTTTTAGAGGTTTATAAAGAAACCTCTTATTGTTGGAAAAAGAAAATTTTGAAGAGGTTTGTTGACCCTACTTGAGCATGAAAAAAAAAAGAATTTTTTCTATTAAAATAAATATTTATTTATTTATTTTTACTATAAAAGTTACTTGTATGTATTTTTTATCAAAAGACACGATTCAAATATTCCAAATGTTTTCTGACCCCGTTAAATGTTTTTCTTGATCCACCACTGTTTGCATAATTAATTATGTATTCAACTAAATATTTTTTAAAAGTATTTCATTTAATTTATGAAAAATCAAGTACTTAAATATATGATTTTTAAATTATAAAGATATACTATACAATACTTATACTTTAATTATTTTTTATTCATCATATATGATACCATTTTTTTTAAATGAATAGCTTATTATTCTTTAACACTCCTTTATTTGTTGAAATTATTCCCATTTTATTGCACTTTTATTTTAATACACATATTTAAGTAATTTTTTTTACTACAGAGTAATTAGTTTTATATGATGAGTAAATTAATTAGGAAAATTTATAGTATGTACTAGTATAAATTACCAAATACAAAGTAGTTTTTAAACTTATATTATAATATACGTAGACAACGGAGTACATGGAAAGATAATTATTGAATATAGAGTATTTTTTTATCATTATATTAATTGTATTGATAACTAGAATATAAATCTAATATATATATATATATAAAGGGGAGTTTTTCCTCGAGTTTTTAGAGAGCCACGTAGGATTTAATTTTCTTAGCGCGCCATGTAGGATTATAAATTTAAGTTATAGCCAATTAAATAAGAGATTTTTAATTTCTTTTACAATTAAATAATTCAAATGCCACATAAGCAAAATTAACGAATGAGATTTTAAAGTTTAGATTAATTAAATACAAAATATTATCTTTTGAGATTAGGAATTTTATCTAATATTTTAAAACTAATATAATAACAATTTTAATCACATATATAAGAAAAATATTTTTTTAAAAAAAACTAACAAACCGTGCATCGAACGGGCTTCATCTAGTTATTCTATATTTGTAAAATTAGAATTTATCAAACAAAATAAAGTTAAAAATTTAAAGGCTAATTAATTAACGGTAATATACATAATAACTTATTTCTACCCTTTTTTTTCTCTTATTGTTAAATGGATAAATTCTTTAGAATTCCTTGATTTGCCACTGTTTGTATGAAGATAATATGGCTAGGGAATAAACCTCTTCTACTGCTATTTCCCTGACTCTTGGACTCTGTAGCTATTAAAAAACAAAAAAAAAAAAAAAAGATAAACAAAATAGCTTGAATAAATAGGTCTATAGGGAAATTAAAGCTTAATAAGGTCTATTCCAAGTGTATACAAAAGGTATAAAAAAAAAATTAAATAAATAAAAAAATAAAATAACCCTCTTAGTTATTGCATTTATCCTTAAATGATAGGAAAATTCTTAATAGTAGCCCTCAGCAATTGCAATACTGAAAGGGTAACCCTTCCTTTTTGTAATTATACATACAATATTACCCTAATAAAAAAAATTCCCATAAATGACATTAATGAGTTTTATCTTGTTACAAAAAAACTAAACCATGCTTAGACCTTATTCACTTCACATTAAAAAAAATATTCAGTAAAAATAATTTCAGTACAGTAAAAATAAGTTCAGATCATTAAAAGTAATTTCAATTTAGTTAAAATAATTTCAGTTCAGTAAAATCAGTAAATGTAAAAAAGAAGTATAATAGAGATTCAGTAAAAATAATTTAAGTTCAGCAAATATAATTTTAGTTCAGTAAAAATAATTTCAGTTCAGCAAAAATAATTTTAGTTCAGTAAACATAACCACAGTTAAGCAAAAATAAAGTGAAGTGAACGGGGGCTTAGCATGAAAAATAGAAAAAGACAAAAAAAAAACCTTCATTAATACTCCTTCAAAACCTTCAAAACCACCGCCATGAAACCCCAGCATAACCAAAACACCACACATAGCCCCACCATAACCGAGAAACACCACCGCTACCACAATCATTGGACTCAAAACCACACAACTAACCCTCATCACCTCCACCTGCAGGTTGAAACCTCAACCTTATCCCACACCAACATAATAAGGATGGCAAAGAGGTGTAGGACTGGCGAGGGGCTCAGTTGGGCAGTGGATAGGGTGAGGTTCAGGTAGGGGAGTGGTGGGTGGTTAGGGTTCAGTTCAGGTAAGGAAGTGGTGGCCAGGTGACTGATCCGGTTCTAGTGGAGGGGGGAATGGTGGGTTGTTAGGGTTCAATTTAGATGGGGGGCCGGGAGTAGTGGTGGCCGGTTTGATTCAGGTTTGTAGGGGGTGGTGGGCTTGGTGGTTGGCTTGGTGGCTCAACCAACTATTTTATTTTTATAAAACAAAACCTCAAACCATAGTTAATTTTAATTACCATTTAAAAAGATGAGATCATTTGTGAGAATATATTCTTATGTAAAGGGTAATTAAAAGCAAAAAGGGAGGGTTACCATTTCAAAGTTGCACTATTATGAGGCTAATAACCATTGAGAATTTCCCTTGATAATAAGAAATACAACACCCAACAATAAGTTACTTTTATCCAATTCCTTATATAGAGTTAATCTAGCTTATAAGTACAAGTTAAGCAAATGTTCATGATCCAATCAATTGTTGCAAACTCATAATGAAGCTACTAATATAAGAATCCTCAAGACCTTCAGTTAATATAAACTCTCTCCATTTAGCATGATTAGCCCTTACATCTCTTCCAACTTCACTGTCTTCTTCCATCACCAAGGAGACCGCCTTATGGACGGCCTCCTTGGTGAACAAACCATCATTCTTTCTCTTCTCAACTTCGACCCCAACCTTCCACTCTAAGCTCATCATTCGCGCACTGATGAACTGGTCGATTGCTTGAGGCATCAACACGACTTGACATTCGCTTACCATAGCTTCGGATAGAGATCCTGCACCACAATGTGTTATAAAACATCCTACCGAAGGATGTTGTACGATGAGTTGTTGTTGCACCCAACCACCATGAATAAGTCCCCTGCTTTTTGTTCTTTCCGCAAATCCTTCTGGTAATGCTGATTCTATTGTTTGGTAATTCATTGGTGGCTTTAAGGCTGCCAAAAATGGCCTACCTGTAGAGATAATGAAATTTATAGCCCATTATAATTAGGCAAAATAATAATTATGTAGTATAAACTAGCAATATTGCATTATTGCTTATACTTGTAACAAATTTTTTGATTAAACTAATTTGGATCTCAAATTATGCCTACTTTGTCTTTTTTTTTTTTTTTTTCCCTTTCCTAGTTCTTTTTCAGGCAGTTGCTGATAACTAATGACTAATTTTACCTGACATTTTTATGTATAACATATACTAACCGGCTACAGTAGCCACTAGCCAATACACATAGCTCACATTACAAACTATAGAATACTACCTCTGTGTTTTAGTTGACGTTTGTCTAGACATTATTTTAATGATTAATATGTCTGATTTGTGACATTGTTAAATTGTAAAAAGTGGATATTAATCAAATATACAAGATGCAAATAAGATCCTATTTGACTATATTTTTATTGTAATTATAAATCACAAAAGCTAATCAAAGTGTATTTTATAAATAGTGTAAAAGTCTAATGGTGTCAATTAAAAAACAGAGAAAGTAATATAGAGTAGCAATTAATCATTAATTATACTTCCTTAAAAAAATAAAACATTCCTCAACAAAATTAATCATTAATTATACTGTTATCCATCTATATATTTTTGTCACAAATCCCCAAACTTACATATCATTTTAGAATATGAGTTTAATAATTATATTTCCTCCGTCCCAAAAAGAACGATCCATTTAGCCAAAACTTTGTCCCAAAAAGAATGACCCATTTGCATTAAAACACCACCAATTTGCAACAATATTTGTGCAAAATTAGCTTCCCCATATAAAAATTTCATTTTCCATGTTATTTTATTACTTTCTCTCTCTATTTTTTTACAAACCCCATGTAAATTTATCTTTCCAATATACTTTTACTTCTTTTTACTTAACTTCCTTAATACCCGCGTAATCAACCCAAATGGGTCGTTCTTTTTGAGACGGAGGGAGTATATAGCCTAGCTTAGATAAGGCCTACCTTATCTAAGAATCCAATTGCAGCTATAGTCCATCCAATTGCGGATCATCTAAACATTGATCCTAATATAGACACTAAATTTTCTTACTCCATATTTAATTTGTTTAGATAAGTTGGGGTATAGACAAGACTCAAGACTTGCTTAACATTTTTTTTTTTTTTTTAAGAAATACTTAACTAACTTTTGTATCTTTCTTAAAAAAAAAAAAAATTACCCTTTGTTTTATCAACAAACTAAAATGCAATGTCCTACTTCTTCTAGATAAGATTTTTTTTTTTCAACACTACATAGGTTGTTTACTTGTTCCTAGCAATGATATATTACTAAGTATATGGCATATCCTAATCAATAAGAACATTAATACAATTTTCAAACTAACAAATTAAATTCAGAGAACGCACCTGTAAGCTCTAGTCCAAGAACAAGCTCTTGAAATTGGTTCAATTTCAGAGCACATTCACTTCCAAGTGCACAATATATAACACTAGCATTACCAAAACTATTCAACCAATCATCAAAATACTTATCAAGTTTCGAAGATGGCGTTTTAGGCACCATTGGCCCTGCTAGTAACACTGGCTTACCAAATATTTTCTCAAAAAACTTACAATACTCCCCTTCCATCTCCGTACAAGTCTTAACCCCGAATGCGTCGCATTCTCGAAACGAAACACCTAGCCTCTCAGCCAGTGTTAGTCCCCCTAGACCAAATGGCGTCTTACCGGCACCCGCCATGATCTCGGCCTCTTGGGGGAGCATCCTGATTGATTGAGACGGAAACTCTGGTGGTGGTGTTAATAGATCATTCGCATTAGGGTGATACCCTGGTATTTTTTTGTATGGTGCAAGATATGCATATCTTGCTATGTATGCTGTGATATAGTGTATTGCTTTAAACCCGTGTTTTCGGGCTAGTTCGGGCATCCAACAAGTGAAGTCGTAAAAAACAATATCGGGTTTGAGTCGGACTAGATGGGTCTCGATGGTGTCACGTGTCATGTCCATGGCGTTCATGATGAGTGGGCCGGATGAGGCGGGTACATCGTTGGTTGTCTCGGCCCCGGGAGGGAGGCCTTCGACCGGTGGGACGGGGATGGGGATGAAGGTAAGGTGGGTTGGGTAGTGGTTGTGAGAAGCTAACTTTGATCGTGTTTTTGGTGGGATAAAATAGGAGACTTTGTGACCTCTTTCGGCTAGTTTGTTGGCTAAGCGGAGAAAAGAAGTAAGGTGGCCTAGTGCAAACCATGGGTAAAATGCAACGTTTAGAATTTGGGTGTCTTTGTTTTGTGACATTTTGATTGCCAAATTTCTATTTGATGTTTCAACTATTTGTTTTGAAGCTTATGCTACCTATCAACTTCGGTTTTGAAGCTTTATCCTAGACTCGTAGTAACTGATATTTCAGTCAATTACAGGTGTTCAAGATTGTAAAAGACTAAAATAAAACATGTAATTTGAGACGGAATGAGTAATCTATGTTGTAACACTATAAAAAAACAAAGTAAGAGTGGGCAATGACATTGTATATCAATTATCAAAGGGCCCAGTAATCAAATCATACAGGCCCAGCCAATCGTTTCACGAGATTTGTGGCTATTGCCTTCTTGAAGCGTGTGCCATTAGCTACCCACCAGCTGGAAAATTTAACTGACTTTCAATCTTTGATGTCAAATTAATTGGGTTTCATGGCCACTTTCATCAATCATGTTTCCCTCTTTGATGGGTTATAATCAAACGTTGATTTGGTATTAAATTTGGAATCTAAATCATCTGCCTCACAATTGATGTACCACTTGTTTATCTCACCAATTCAACATTTTTTTTGACAAAACTTACTGTTTGGGTCCAATTATGCCCAATTGGGCCCGGTCATTAAATGATCCAATCCAAGTCAAGGTCAAGACCCAAGCCTCCAATTAGCCAAGTCAATCTCAGGTCAAGAGCCCAAGTCATCATGGTCAGCCCATATGACCTCAAGCCCATCTCTTCTCCTTGTCATGCTAAGGTATAAAAGCCTTCAATTACATCATTTATCATTCATTCACATTCAAGCCTCAAGCAATTAATTATCTTGCATAGCTTTCTCTCTCCAAACACTATTTGACTTTGGCATCGGAGGGGCTTTCCTTGACACAACCCCCGAGGCCAGTTTACATGTGTTTGCTGTGCAGGAAACCCTCGGCCCAGCATCATTTGGACCGAGCTAGTCTTCATCCACTTCTTCGGACCTTCGGCAAGGTCCCATTGTTTTCATCCGAAACACTCACCAATTCAACATTGTTTTAATTTGTTATGCAATAATATCTGTTGAGTGTTTCTACTACTACCTCCGTTTCATATTATTTATGTCTAATTGTTGCAAATAATATGAAATAGATGTAGTAATTATTTATGTCCTTTAAGTAAAAGTTGTGAAAAATAACCTTATAAGTGAAAGTTGAGAATAACATGTGAAAGTCAACACCAGAGCTCCGGTGTTGACCACCCAGAAAACTCACCTAAGTACCCCTAAAAACATAATACAGATTAAAAGGTCATTTTTCAAAACTTTTCACTTAAAAGGTCCATTTATAAAAAGTCGATCATTTAAAAGGTCATTTTTATAAATTTTTCCGTATTTATAGAGGTAATTAGTCTACTACTACTAATCTATTATAGGATCTAAATATATTTGGATCACATATTCACACACGTGGATATTTCAATTGATCCAAGCCCAAACAGTATATAATTTCAAGCCCAAAAGAAAAAAAAATATGATATTAGCCCAATGAAAACAAAAAATAAATTCACAATCAAACATTTCAAGAACTAGAAATATAAATTTATAAATGACTTAAAGATCTAGATTACGAAATTATCTCTTAAATAATTTCAAACAAGCAATTGTTTGAGACTCTCAATGAAGCTACTAATATAAGAGTCCTCAAGACACGGGCCTTCCCTTAACAAAAACTCTCTCCACTTAACACGATTAGCCCGTGCCTCTTTAGCAACTTCATTTTGTTCATTCATCACAATTGAGATTGCCTTATTGATAGCCTCCTTAGTGTAATATCCATCTTCCTCTTGTTTTTCGACCTCGACCCCAATTCGCAACTCTATGCTCATCATTCTTGCAGCAAGGAGTTGATCGAGTATTAGAGGTAGCAATACTAAGCTAGTTGACATTCACTACTTATCATAGCTTCAGAAAGAGACCCTGTTCCGCAATGTGTCACGAAACATCCTACCGATGGATGTTGCAAGATAAGTTGTTGTTGGACCCAACCATTGTACACCATTCCTCTTCCTTTAGTTCTCTCTTCAAACCCTTCTGGCAAGGCTGACTCTATTGTTTTGTAACTTGTTGGCGGCTTTAGAACTGCCAAAAAGGGCCTACCTACATGGACATTGATGTCAAAAACTTAGGCTATGTTCAGTTCAACTTATTCAAATTAATGTTAGTTTATCTCATAAATATCTGTTTTTTTTTGTTTGCTTTTATTCGTTGAAAATCTTTATATTTGTAACTTAAAAAATTATTAAATCCTCATATTTGAAAAGTGTGTATTATTATTACAAATTTAATGACATCTCATTTTACAATTTTTATTCCATAAATTAGTGTGAAAATAAGGTCAAAGTTTGGTTTAACTTAGAAATCAGATCTGATCCGATCAAATTATATTAAATTAGATCAGATCATGTGAACTGCCTTAAAATTTTAATCGATTCTATCTTACATAGACCGTACCTACATCATATAAAGATCTAATAAGAGGGATGGATGACATGTGCCTCAATAATTTTTTTTTTAAGAAAATGTCACATTTAAAACAAAAACATAAAATAAAATGAGAAATATACGCATTGAATTGACAAATAAGTATTAGCTACCATTTACCAATTTAATAAATCTAGATTTGCATGCATATACATGTGTGAATATAGAAAATGGTAAACACACCTTTTTAATAACGGCCATGAACATGCATGCATGTATGATAAAAAGGAATGTTATACGAACCTGTAAGCTCGAGTCCTAGAACAAGGTGTTGAAAATGGTTAAATTCCATAACAAATTCACTCCCAAGTGCACAATAAATGACACTTGCAACACCATGACCCTGAAGCCAACCATGAATATGCTCATCGAGTTTCGAAGACGAGAGTTTCACGACCATCGGCCCTGCTAAAAGCACAGGCTTACCATAAATTTTCTCAACATACTCACAATAAGTTCCTTCCATCTCCTTAAAACTCTTAGCACCAATAGCATCACATTCGCGTAATGATTTGTTCACCCTGTCAAGCAACGTAAAATTTCCAGGCCCGTACACTTTTTTTTCCAAAAGCTTCCATGATATCAGCGGCCTCTTGAGCCTGTAAACAAATAAATTGGGATGGAAAACCCGGTGGTGGTGCCACAAGGTCATTCGTCGTTGGGTTGTTACCTTCTTTCTTTTTGAAAGGGCAAAGATAAGCATATGTCATTACAGATGAGGTAAAAAAATGCACGGATTTGATTCCATGTTTTCGGGCTAGTTTAGGCATCCAACAGATGAAGTCATATAAGACTACATCGGGCTTTAGACGGACTAGATGCTCCTCGATAGTGTCACGGGTCATATCCATGGCCGTCATCAAGAGGGTCAAGGCTGAGGTGGGCACATTGTTGGCCGCCTCAGTCTCAGAAGGGAGCCCATCGACATGAGGGATGTCGATGGGAATGAAGGTAATGTGGTTAGGGTGATGGTTGTGAGGGGCTAATTTTGTTTGTGTTTTGGTAGGGAGAAAAAAGGAGATTTGGTTACCTCTTTTGACTAGTTGATTGGCTAAACGAAGGTTTGGAATAAGATGGCCAAGAGCGTATCATGGGTAAAACCGTAAAATACGACATTTAGTATAGGGGAACTTATGTTGCAAGACATTTTGGTTGCCAAATAAATTTATCTTGCTTGTTAGTAGCTTTGCCCCAATATCAATATTTACTAGTTTAAAGTTGCATGTTTCTTGCTTGTTGTATAAGGAAACAAGTATACCTTTTGCTATATTAAATACGAAGTATGTAGTTTGTTAGACAGACAAAAAATAAAATAAAAAATAATAAAAAAATAAAAATTGATGTACTGTGCACAAACTAACCAATACAAATTGACTAATTGTCATAGTTTTATGGGTTTCTCTTGAGCAAGCAAAGTTGGTACAAGAATGTTTGAACACCTTATTTAGTGAAAAATGGAGCACGGAAGGTGCATATGGTCAGTTGGGATAAAATCGCCACTCCGAAAGCTGAAGGAGGGTTGGGCTTAAAATCCATAAGAAACACAAATAAGGCCTTTTTTGGCAAAGCTAGGGTGGAGGTTGATTGCTAAACCTCAAGCTTTGTGGCCGAGGGTTCTGTTAGGGCCTATTATTATGTATAGTGTATAGTTATCGGGCCTATCTCATGAGCCCTAATCTATTTTCTAGGTTGTATATATACGCTTGCTATACTCTAATGAAAACTACGGAAAATTATTTTGTGACATGGTATCGGAGCCAAAATCACTCTAAGTCCTACATCTCTAAATTTTTTTCTAATTCCCACTATCAATTCCTACATTCTAAATACTAATTTCTAAACACAATTTCTATTTCCTGATTCGACATTCTCTAATTAATTCCCACTATCAATTTCTAATTCCACTATTAATTTTTTAATTACTAATCCCTAAGTTTGTGGGTTCTGCCAATTTGCGATACTCGGTGGTTGCATTTCTTTAATACTTGTTCAACAATGGTGGATGAAGGCATGTTTATCTCTAATCGACGTGATAAGTCGACCTTGTACTGTACCCACTGCCATCGTTTTGGTCACGACCATGCCGCTTGCTTCCTTGTCCACGGGTTACCCGATTGGTGGCTTGACAACTATGGGCATAAAGGGCGAGCTTCCTCTTCGTTTTCTGCTGCTACTGCTTGTTCTTCGACTGCCCAGCAGGCTACGCCATCCTACCAACCAGAGCACTCCGCGACACAGCCGCAGGACAGCCCTCCCAGCCGCAGCCAGGCCGCGGAGTGGACTACCCAGCGGGTTGGGAGCCTTGCTCTTCCTCGGTTTGCTACTAAGACTGCCTCTACTACTTTGACAATGCTTTCTACTTCCGCCACTACTCCTATTTTGGGTGGTGTATTCGATTCTCGTACCGATTCTATTAATGATGATTATTTATCTTTGCCGTGGATAATTGACACTGGTGCATCTCATCATGTTACTGGCAATGAGACTTTTCTACTAGATTCTCACTCAATTATTTCTTGTCCTGTTGGTCTTCCGGATGGTACTAAGGCCATGACTACTAAGGAGGGTTGTGTTGTCTTGGCAGATGGCATTACTCTTCAACATGTTTTATTTGTTCCGCAATTGAATTGCAATTTGATTTCGGTCTCTAAATTGATTGATGATTCTAATTGCTTTGTCCGATTCACTAATTCTCTTTGTGCTATACAGGATCAATACTCGGGGAGCTTAATTGGAGGCGGTGAACGGATAGATGGACTATATTATTTTCGGCGTCT